GTATGCTAGACTTTTAGTTTTGCTATTTCCCTTTTTTAGAATACGCATTGTAAAATGAAGTGCCTTCCAGGCTCTTTTCACAGTGTAATTAACTTGATCAGACCAGCTTAGGTCGCTGCGTAAAATTATTCCCAGATATTTACAGCTACTCGCTTCTGGGATTACTGTGCCCCCTAACGAATAATTTAGTGGCTCCGTTACTCGAGCCCCCGTGAAACAAACTGCCTTACTTTTAGTTGGATTAATTTTCATCTCATTTTCAACTGCGCATTTCCCAAGTCTGTTCAGATGTATCTGCAACTTTTCCTTATCATTATTATTTTTAATTTTCTTATATATTATACAGTCATCCGCGAATAGCCTAATAGTTGACTCAGTATTTCTCCAAATATCATTGACATAGGCGAGGAACAGTACTGGGCCCAGCACACTTCCTTGCGGTACTCCTGATGTTGTTCTGACTTCCTCCGATAGTTGCCCTCCTACTCTGACTCTCTGCGTACGGCCCAAAAGGAATTCCCTTATCCATATAACTACCCTTGAGTCCACTCCTGAGGCCGCAATTTTCGTAAGCAGACGATCATGACAGACTAAATCGAAGGCCATCGAAAAATCTATTACAATTGTGTCTATCCTACTTCCGTTATCCTGTGAGTCTGCAATGTCTTGGTAGACCGTGATTACTTGACTTTCACATGAATATCCCGGCCTGAAGCCATGCTGACCCTCAAACAACCAATCATTTTTATCCCATATTTTCCTCAGGTATGATGCTATAACGTGTTCCATTTGCTTGCATACTACTGAGGTTAAACTGACGGGTCTATAATTGGAGACCAGCGATCGATCACCTCCCTTGTAAACAGGAACCACTATGGCCTGTTTCCAGTCACCTGGAATAGCGGCATTATTCATTGTCACATCCAGTAATCACGCCAGGTATGGAATCATGACTTCCCACCCAGTTTTAGAATTTCACCAGAAATGCTGTCTGGCCCTACTGATTTGTTCTTACCTATCGCTGCTAATCTTTTCCTAATAATTTTCGTACTAACTGCGAAGGGTTTCCCTGAGATATCGTGCTGTATTTGCGGGATGCTACGCTCACTGCTGAATACGGAAGAATAATATAGTTGAGGAAGTTAGCCTTTTCTAACGAATCAGTAACGAGTCGTCCATTAACATCTTTGATTGCAGGAATATTTTAATGGCTAGTGAAGCATGTTTGATTCTTACTTTGAATTGGTATGTTTAGAGTCTTACCATGTTAAATCAACACAGCAGTAAAGTTGACCACCTTTGATTTCGGTGAAATTTGTAGGCCTGCAGAGTCTGATAGCATAAATAAGAAGTTTTTTCCTTAAAGTATCAGTCAGTTTCTAGGTCATTGCATTTTGAAGTTTTCATTTGTTCGTAGGTGGTACTTTCATCTGTTATGTCACTTATATTATTTTAGGGCCCAGTAACATTTTGTAACATTGACCTTTGACATTTTTTTAAGAATGCATAGCCATATTTATGTAACTTTTTGTCCAAACATTTTTTAGTTATTTAAATATGTTTTTGGACAGTTTCATGTTTGGACATGAATGAGATGATTTATTACCAGAAAGAAAATTGCACAACTTGCTTTGAAACAGATCGACAACTACCGTGACATGTTTTACATGGTCTGATATAACAAAATAAATTGTTGTGCTCTGTGATATCATTTTGTGAATTAATAAATTACAAATGTATGGAAAGTTGCCAGAGCATCATAGAAATTTTATCTTTGGGAATATGGGATATCCCAGTGTAGGTGGCTGGATTTTAACTTGGGGGTTTTAACTAATAAGGATATTGGTATTGAAATTGTATATTTTTTGGACATTTCTACTGATATATTCTAGTAAAAGGTCTCTGAAAGAAAATACATTGCAAAATTCTGTATTGTTATTTTGTAAGGGTCATTCCATGTGAAGTCTTCCAGAGAGGTCACTCAACATTTTAAAAAAAACTAATTCGTTCGGTTCTCCCGATACATCCAGTTTTATAATGCGAGAAAACTCGTTTGCGTTATCTTCTATATCTCAATAACTATTGAAGCTAGAGACTCCAATGAAAAACCAATTTGTTTCTCATGATACGGACTACACATCATATCATTACAAGGTTTTACTCAACTCACTTCCTCTAGGTGTAATTAAGCTTGAAACTTACCTATCGATTTTGGGAAAAACGCTATTTTTCACCTTCAGAAACCAATGGGAAGGGGAAAGTATCAGATCTGTGGTTTATACCTTTTGTTGTTACCTACATGAGGAATATAATCACGTAGTTTTGAACCTTGTACCTATTTTCCAGGAGCTTCCGAACTTTGCTCTGGGGCCAAAATTGGTCATTTTTAACATCTGATATCTCTGGTGGAGAAGCTCCAAAAATTTTGAAACTCGTACCAAATAATTCTAGAATAAAATGGAGTTAAAATTACAACTTTGATATTCAACTAATAGCTGAGTTTTTATAATGTGAAAAAACGCATTTTTGCCTGAAATGGAGGTTTGCATTATCTCCCATATCTCGATAACTATTGAAGCTAGAGACTTTAGTAAGAAACCAATTTGTTCCTCATGACATGGACTATAAATCATATCATTATAAGGTTTCACTCAACTCACTTCCTCTAGGTCTAATTAAGCTCAAAACTTACCTATCAATTTTGGGAAAGACGCTATTTTTCACCTTCAGAAACCAATTGGAGGGGGAAAGTATCAGATCTGTGGTTTCTACCCTTTGTTGTTTCGTACATGGGGAATATAATCGCATAGGTTGACCCTCGTACCTAGTTTCCAGAATTTTCCAGGAGTTTTCAAACTTTGCTCTGGGCCCAAAATCGACCATCTCATATCTCCGGTGGAGAAGCTCCGAAAATTTTGAAATTCATAGCAAATAACGCTCTATTCTAGAGTAACTTGGAGTTAAAATTACAACTTTGATATTCAACTAATAGCAAAAGCACAGTGGACCACTGTAGGTTGTGGTGCAAGGGCTGAGAAGGCTTACCCCTCATACATACATACATATAACTAATAGCGAAGTTGTGGGCACTTTGAATTTTACCAAAAAAAATCAATACCTAAACAGTTGGCGTACCTGCTTCCAGTGGTATTAGTTCTTTGTGTACTCCGATAAAAATTGTCCAGTTTGTTTGAAAGTACACGTAGTTCAGTAAGTGTCCACTATCACAGTGTCTTCAAAATCATTGGACTTGGATGTTTTATAACACCTGACCATGTTTTCTTCCAGAGGGACGACCCGGTGTTTTTCTCTTGTGTGGGGCTCAGTTTTGTACTTTTGGAACCTGCCTCTCAGAATGATTTCATTTCTTGCAACTTCCTCTTTTGGCACAAAAAGTAGACTATCCCTAAGATATTTTCTGTGCAGAATATTTACAGTTCTAGTGGGCACATGATTTGATGAAAATGAGTTCTTTGAAGGATGGCTTTCGCTGCTTGCCTCTTCATGGTGCTGCCAATACCGTCACAGGTGTGCGAGGTGACAAAGAAGTTCCATTCTGCTTCAAGTCCAAAGTCTTCATAGTGATGACATAAATTGGAAAGATTCTTTTTGTTTTTATATTGGCTTCCAGTGCCATCACTGCAATAAATAACTTTCCTGACTGAAGGCACATTCTTTTATATCGGTGATAAATTTTTGGAACACACAGACTTTGGCTGTATTGTGCTTTACATGATCACTGATTATATACGAGCTTCGGCATTTTGCTATACTGTCCGCCTTGTAGTAATACACAAAGGGGTGAAGTGTAGCCGGTTGATTTACCCAGTGGAAACTTGAATCTTGTCTTGAATGAGAAACAAACAATTTTCTGCAAAATCTGTAAAATTCAAAGTGCCCACATCTTCGCTATTAGTTGAATATCAAAGTTGTAATTTTAACTCCAAGTTACTCTAGAATAGAGCGTTATTTGCTATGAATTCAAAATTTTTGGAGCTTCTCCACCGGAGATATGAGATGTTAAAAATGGTCGATTTTGGGCCCAGAGCAAAGGTTGAAAGCTCCTGGAAAATTGTGGAATCTATGTACGGGGTTCACCTACATGATTATATTCCCCATGTAGGAAACAACAAAGGGTAGAAACCACAGATCTGATACTTTCCCCCTCCCATTGGTTTTTGAAGGTGAAAAATAGCGTTTTTCCCAAAATCGATAGGTAAGTTTTGAGCTTAATTAGACCTAGAGGAAGTGAGTTGAGTGAAACCTATAATGACATGATTTATAGTCCATATCATGAGGAACAAATTGGTTTCTTATTGGAGTCTCTAGCTTCAATAGTTATCGAGATATGGGAGATAACGCAAACCTTCATTTCAGGTGAAAACACGTTTTTTCGCATTATAAAAACTTCGCTATTAGGTGAATACCAAAGTTGTATATGTGGGCTGTAATTGCAGTGGGTAAATAGTTATGCTCACGTTCCTGGTTTTTAGACACTTGTAGTTCATTGACTTCAAAGTGAATGAATGTTCTGTTATAATGTGTCTGTTGATTCATGTCCATTGAAGACTTAATTAGAATGGCTTCCACTGTGTATTATCCTGCGTGGTTATAGTGAAAGAATGTTATCTTACACAGAAACAAATTAAATTTTTCAAACTTCGTGTCTTGCTTTCTGTATGATTCCGTTTCCATCTTTTATTTTCCTGTGTTATGCTTCCCATTATATGGCTTGTTAGTCAGAGACCTTCACTTGATTATCTTCCATATTGTCATATATTCGAGGCATTGATATTTTTAAGTCCTAACCATGGATTGTTTGGACTTGAATTATCATGAAATTTTAAGTCAAGACACCTCATTGCTATTACAAATGTATTTAGATTCCTATCACACAGAACTTTTTAACTGTTTACTGTTCACTTGGAAAAAGAAAAAAAGGCATTTGCCTTCACATGTTCAGTGTGGCACGATGCGACCAGACACGAGATGATTTATGACCTGTTTGTGTTGGAAAGTCAGATACTAAAACATATCTAAGGGACAGGGCTATCGCAAAGAGTCCAGTGTCTGCACATTCTAGAGGAGGGACATTTCTAATGCAGCAGGTAGATGTGACAACTGGGTGAGGAATATCCCTTTCTGACATGGAATTGGGCTGAGGTTCCATTCTTGAAAATTTTAATTACCCACAGTTATTACCAGGAGAATGTCTGCTACTGCATGCAGTGGTCGCTGCATCCTGAAGAAGGGTACTGTAGCCTATATATAATAATTAGATGTGGAAAATGGGTGAGGGATTTCCACTTGTAGAAACTGGTATGCAGAAAATAATTTTTTGTTGCCAGTGTAGAAAGGTTGGAATATATACAGAAGCATAGCACAAAATTGGAGACGGTGAACAAAATATAAGATAGATAGGTTGCCAAGTTGGCCATATGTAAATTAATATGACTTTGCTGGTTCCAAGAAAGTGTGTCCAGTACAGCAGGTGGCCAACATCCAGGAGTGACCAACCTCACAGGTTTCACTGTGTAACAAAATTTGCCAAAGATCTGTTCAGTTTTGCATTGTCTTTCAATGACATGCAGTGAAATTGATCAGAAGTATTGCTCATAAATGATTTCATAATAAACCTTTTAATCAAATTTCAGGTATGCTTTACCATTGGTTATTAAAGTGATGTTTGTGATTTTATATTGGTTCATTATTTTATAGGCAAGACATTAACCAGAAGACAAAAGAGATTACAACTTTGAAGACAAAAGTTGCAGGTTACAGGATGTCAGTGATAGTAACTAAACATTAACTGTTGTGTTTGATAATGTTTTACCATAAATGAGATTGAAATGTCACCATATGTTTGAGGTTAAAATACGTTTACATTGATATTCTTGGATATAGCACTTTTTTACTGCCAAATTCTTAAAACCAGTGTTCACTTACAAACGTGCTACATGCATGTAGAGATTAGATTGATATGCTTCCTATAGCCAATGTTTCTTCTGCAGGTCTTACATTCTCAGAGAAGTGGAATACGGACAACACTCTGGCAACAGAAATTTCAATTCAAGATTATGTTGCCAAGGGACTGAAATTATCATTTGATAGCTCATTTGCACCCCAAACAGGGTAAGTACAATATCTAAAGCAGATGTTGCCTGTATTTGAAAGTGAAGACCTTGACATCATTTAACCTTTAACATACGGACTTTTAAATAGCCGGCAGCTCTATGCAGCCAAAATTTAAATGACCCTAAGTCTTTAACATTGCAGACTTTCAGAAAAACTACATATTTTCCGTTCTATGCAACATAGAAATACGAAATAAAAACAGCCTGAAAGACAATAAAATTTTCTACATTTACACAAAAGCGCAATTTTTACAAATGAAAATTAACTGTGTGCATTTTGTCATGAAATGAAAAATACTAGATGCGTTCAAGAATGATTGACACTAAATGTTTTTTCTTCACAGTAACCATTTATTGGAAAAAATACATACAGATTATATTAGAGGTATTCCCTGCCAATTTCTATGCACCTTTGCCATTGTTCCGACAGTTTCCGTATTTGCACAGCAAACCATTCTTTGGGTATATCTCGGCACCACTGCTGGACAGCTGCCTGAAGCTTGTCATTGGAGGTGAACATGTTACCCTGCATGACATCTCTCGTTGCATCGAATAGATTGTAGTCGCTAGGGGCAAGATTGGGCGAGTATGGCGGATGAGGCAGCACGGTGTACTATAGAGCACCCAGGGTGGCAGTGGTCTGCTGACTGCCATGTGGCCATGAATTCTCATGTTGGAGAAGAACGCCGCCCCCACATTTTCTGTGGCGTCTTTGCTGAATGCATAAGCAGAGTTGGAGCAGTGAATTGCAGTACTGATCAGTGTTGATGGTCATATTGGGGGCAGCCAATCCATAACAGAAGGATCCCCTCCTAATCCCAGAACACAGTCGCCATTTGCTTCCGGACGAATAGTCCCGGTCGTGACTTCTTGGGAGGAGGGCTCCCAGTGTGCTTCCACTCCATGGACTTCTTTTCAGAGTCTTGTGCCAGAACAGTGACTCATTGATGGTGACTAGACGCTCAAAAGAACTCTGCCGGATCCACGTTATACAGCTACAGCAACTGTTGGCATGTCTCCACACGCTCCTGCTTCTGCGCAATGGTGAGAGAATGGGGCTCCCATTGAGCACAGACCTTTTTCATCATCAAGTCCTGATGGATGATGGTGTGCACTGTTCCGCTTGACAAACCTGTTGCATTCTCTAGTTCATTGAAAGTGATGCGCCTGTTCTCCAGTATTAAGTCGGACACATGCTGGGTATTGTCTGGTGTGCGTGCTGTTGCTGCACGCCCACTGCTTTTGAATTTTTCCACACAGTCCTTGCTGTCTTTGAACTCTGCTATCCAGCGAAACACGGTTCTGCGACTTGGTGCTCCTTCCCCACATACAGCTACTAACCTCGTGTGAATGTGTGAAGCAGCCACTCCTTCCCTCTAGAGAAACCACAGTCACCATTGCCCATGATTGTCTGCTTCCATGTTGTCTTAGTGTTGTCCATGACTGCACCTGCACACCACCATGAATGACGCAGCACTGTTCAACCTGTGTGCAGTAGCAACGTCATCTCATGGCCATAGGCGGCACTATAGTATGTCTTCCCACATACACCAGCTCGCATTTGACACTACTACTCTTCTGGAGTTATGGAGGGAGGGTTAATCAGTTTTGAAGGACTTACATATAACCTTTATTATATATATTATGAAATTGCAAAGGACTTACCCATAGTTTTTTCTTCAACCTTGAGACATGGTGATTTTGTAAATATAATCACACTGTATACAATAATATTTTGTTTAGACTGCATGCGAGTTGGAACAGCATCACTTCACAGCGTACGATACGATGGTGAATAAATAGCAAAAGGTTGTAACTTGTATGTTTCAGAT